TATAGGATCATTCTCTCTAATGTAATCTAATAGAATATTCCAAAAATCGCTATCTAAATTTTTAGCTTCAGTGACAGACTTTTTTCTTAAAAGCTTCTCACAGCTGCAACAAGCATTGACAGCATGATCAGACAAAGCTTTCTTAAATTCATCAATAGCATCTGAATACTGAAAATAAAGTACAGTATCTAAGTTTGGTATTCTAAATGGGTCTTGTTCTTCATCATTAATAGCATAATACACATTATCAAATTCAGTTTCATCGGCTTCACTGATTTTTAAATTTGTCAATTGTGCTATATTGCCTTCAGCAAGCAAAGAGTCATTGATATCTATTGTTCAATGGGCATTTCTAGCAACATAAGTGTTTCAAAAGGCGTCTCACTGAAGGATAATGAACAGATGCATTGCGTAAAATACGTAGCATCCTCTTACATTCAGTATCATTACTACTACACACAATAAGATGGCCTATTCTTTCACAAACAATTTCAGAATATTTAAAATATTTTCAACATTATTTTCATCTTTTTTAACAATTACGGTTACATTAGGATTATCACAGAAATCATATTCATGCACTTGATCTATTTCTTCAACATGCAGGGATCTAGTCATATAATGATTATTAGGACAATTGTCACATGCATCAAAATACTTCCTCAATTTTTTAATGGGTTCATCAAAATAACGTCTAAGTTTGATAATAGAACTAACATCACTTTCTAATAAAGGCTTGCACCTGTCTGTACAGTGCCATTTGAGGGCAGGCTTTCTCTTCTTAGTATACATTCTATTATTATCAAAATTGTCATCTTCAGAGTCACTATCATAATTACATTCTTCCACTCTATCAATACATGATACATCAACAATCCCTGCTACATAACAGATGCCATTCACATCAACAGGGATTGCAAATGGGCTATTTAATTGGTTATCAGAATCTTTATTAGGATACAAATATGCTGATTCATAAAAATAAGGCTCACTACTTATTGTGTGGCATTGTTCACCAATATCATTAAAACTATTCAACTTCAAATTCCTTATGCTATTTGCTGCATGTATCAATACGCCTACTTTGTGGGATCTGTTTTTCAAAACTGATTCTAACAATATACTTGATGCAGCATTACATTTACAGTCATATGATATGTTCTCAAAATCTAAACCTTTCATACTTGATGGCAATAAATCAACTATTTCGGGGCTGTAATATAATGCTTCAATAAATTTTGTAGAATAATATTCCTTTGCTTCACTATTTGGTGCAGGTAATGAATAATTAGAACGTAATCTATATCATATGTGACAATAATTACGTTCGTAATAATCTTTATTTAGACGCCTCTTATTTTATTTATTTAGTACCTTTAATTTATCCATTTTGTTAGAAGAAAGTGTAAACCTCAAAAACTTATCCTTTGTTGCAGTTAATATTGCGTCTCAATTCTCGTAATATCGTTTCAAGGAGTTTTGTTTTTGTGGCCTTGATTTTGTTCATAGTGTTTTTTAGACATCATTGTTTTATTTAAAGAGTTTTGGGAATACATTATTTGTGAATATGGTAAAGATTTTGTAATTTTGATATTTTTGTTTTTGTTACACTAATTTTTACATTTTTGCAATATATAACCTGGGTTCAATGCATGAAACTGCATTGAATAAGCAAGCTTATATTTTCTACTGATTTTATATGCAATTCTTGCTCTGCTTTTGACCCTGTTACATTGTCTTATGTAGTATGCTCTGGCATTTGATCTATTCTTTCCAATGAAATCTTCCATTTGCTTTCTATTTTTATATTGTTTCTTCTTTTTTCCTTTAGATTTGGCCCCAGTTAAATAACTTATCCTTTTTCTACTTCCCTTTCTTACAACTAACACTGAAACAATTATACTTAGGACTAAAACCACTAACAAGTACAATAACATTAAGTATGGAAGAACCATGTAGGTACTAAAATCAGAACTACAGATAAATAGCATTGTAAACAACATTTATCTTTTTTATCCAATAAGGCACTGACAGTACTATCTAGATATTACCGTATAGGCTGATATTTTCGATGGGTGAATATTTTCGTGGAGAGCACTAATCCACGAATTTTTAACCCTTGAAAGTTTTGCACCCACGAATTATAATTAACGATTATTAAAATTCTTGAAAAATGAAACATCAACACGTGTTAGTCTGGCATGGCCTGACCCTTGCCACACCTGACTATACACGTGTAGTGTTTTTTAGCCGGAGCAGAAATCAGTCTATCGTTTGAGAATGGCTCTCTTACGTTACTTTAAGCCAGTAAATGGTGTGCCCGATCCTAGGGGGTCGTTATCTTCGTCGATCCCATCATCTGTTATTGCCGAGGCAAATGCTCAAGTAGTGAAGGAAGTGGAAAAAGGTAAGAAGAGAGGTCCTTACCAGTCTTACTCGCCTACTTTACGCTTGGAAATTGGAAAATACTCGTGTCAGCTTGGTGTTGCAGCAGCCTCCAGGTACTTCACACGAAGACTGAAACGGTCTGTCAGTGAAACTACCGTACGATCTATCCGAGATGCATATAGAGAAGAATTGAAGCGCAAGAGAATGGAATTCGATGATGATGATGATGATGATGATGTTGCAATGGAATCCCTCTATGCAAAAAAACGTGGTCGCCCCCTTCTACTTGGAGATTTAGATGAAATTGTTCAGCTGTACCTCAGGAAGTTGAAAGACGCTGGTGGAACCATCTCAGCAAGGATTGTAGTTGCAGCTGCTAGAGGCGTCATTATGAAATCTAACAGGGGAATGCTGGTGGAGTTTGGGGGCCATGTCCAACTGAAAAAGTATTTGGCACGCTCTCTATTTCAAAGAATGAACTTAGTCCAGAGAAAAGCTACCACTGCCAGAAGCAAGCACACAGATGTGAATTTAAAAGCCTTAAAACAGCAGTTTCTCACAGATTTCCAGTCTACAGTATCAATGGAGGAAATCCCTTCTGAGTTGGTTTTCAATTGGGACCAGACCGGCATCCAGAGAGTGCCATCATCCTCATGGACAATGGATAAAAGTGGTGTTAAAAGAGTTAAAATAATAGGTGCTAACGATAAGAGGCAGATCACAGCCATCTTTTGTTAAACAATCATGGGCGACTTTCTTCCTATCCAGCTGATTTATCAAGAAAAAATGGCCCGATCCCACCCCAAGTATCAGCTCCCATGTGACTGGGATATTAATCATTCCTCCAAACAGTGGTCAACAGAAGACACTATGGTTGCATACATTGAGAACATCATTGTGCCATATGTTGAGAAAGTGAAAGATGATTTACTTGATGGAGAGAAGGCAGCACTTGTGGTCATGGATAATTTTAAAGGTCAGGTGACTAAAAAGTGACAGCATTACTTGAGCGTCACAATATTCATACCTGCTTATTGCCTCCAAACACCACGGATATCATGCAACCAATGGATATCTCCGTCAACAAGTCTGCCAAAGCATTCTTGAAAAACAAATTTGAAGCTTGGTATGCCTCTGAAGTCATAAAGCAGTTTCATGGAAAAGAAGTACAGGATTTGGAGGAAATAGATTTTCAAGCCATTGACATGAATGTGCAAGTGATGAAAGAAGTTGGTGCTCCTTGGTTAGTCGAACTATATGAGTATATGAGTGAAAACCCTGATATCATTGTTAATAGATTTGTGAAGTCTGGGATGTCGAAGGCTATAGATGGAGTCATTATGCCGAATAGTGATGAGGACTTGGAGCTACAAGAGAGTGAATTAGACAGTGACGTGGACGAGTTTGAAGACAATGAGGATGAGTTTGAAGACAGCCAATGATAATTAAGTTGCCAGACTAATTAAGTTAATTCATTTACCGGTATCACTTAATCATGTATTATCTATAGTCTTATCATTCATTTTTGTTGTGTTCAAATTTAAATTCAATACGTATTTACAACAAACAATTCATGATTAAAGTAACAAAATAGAAACAATTATACTTCAGAGCAGTTTGAAATTATTAGAATTTAGCGAGTAATAATTTTCTTCAATTTTTTACCTCTAGCAATGATGCTGCTTTAAAAATAATCATACAAGGAATCTCCATGCCTCCCTGTGGTAAGTCAACAGAGTATTTCCAACTGCCAGTCACACTACCTTCTATATCACCACCTCGCCTTTAAAACTGCGAGCAAACACGGGAGACTTTCTTGGGCAAATGTCCGACTACTACACCATTTTCTTTTACCACCACTGCGTAATGATCGTGAGTGTTCTCCGGTTCTCTGACACATTGTAATGTCTCCCCTATCACAGCTTCCCAGATGTCCTGATAAACATGGTAGCCTCTGATGCAAAGATTCAAAGAATACCCTTCATCCAATGCCATAGGCTAACGTAGCTACACGTGATAGCATAGAGTTAAAAATTCATATGACTAAAGTTTCGTTGGGGTTAAAAATTCGAGTACACATAATTTCGTTGTTGTCTGAGACCACGAAAAAATATCCCCACATAAGTTTAACCCTCGAACTTTTTATCACTCGAAAATATCCGCGTATACGGTATACAGTGGAACCTCCGAATAAAGAAACTTTTGGGCCACATTATTTTTTATTATACAGAAGTTTGCATTAAAGGGAAGTTTTTTAATCATGTAAAACTTATGTAAAAAAAGTATCTAATGTACTTTGTTTTGTTTTTAATGTACTCAAAATAGCAACTTTGTCCACGAGGGTACTTGTTAGAAATGCTTCATCTAAGGCAGAGCGGCTTTCAAGATATGTTTGGACTTCTTTTAGCACTTCCAAAGCCTCCCTATATGATGTTATCTTAGAAGGTGGAGGTAATACATCTGTTTCCAATTCTTTATCCTCAGATTCTGATTCCTGTACATTTTCTGTCAGATTTTCCATAAATGCTTGGTCCCAAATTTCATCTTCAAACTCTGCACATACAGAAAGACCATTCTCTCCACTTGTGTAAAAATCCAATGAGCATGCCTCACTACCTGTACCCATGACATCTGATGAGGCCATTCATTTCTTCAATCAGATCTATATCAACGAATGGATCATCTATGTCTGAACTTCCTACAGCAATAGCAGAGGGTGTCACTCCAGCACGTCTGAAACATTTGCTGATAGTTTCAGGTTTGACATCTCTCCATGCCTTTGATATCCAACGTATAGCATCTAATATGGTGATAGTTTTAGCAACTTCAGAAGAAGAAACACATGTTTCAATGGAAGCAAGAATATAAGAAAGAAGATAGTGCCGATAGTGGACCGTGAAATTTTTGATGATCCCAAGATCTAATGGTTGGAGCTTTGAAGTTGTATTGGGTGGGAAAAATACAACTTTCACATTGCTAAACTTATCTCTAAGATCTTCTGGGTGACAGCCTGCGTTATCCATTAAAAGTAAAACAGATCTTTTTTGCTGAATCATTTTACGATTGAAAGAGCCAACAATTTGATACATGTCTGCCGTCATCCAAGCATTTGTTTGATCAAAGTAAAATACTGGTAACTGCCTTGTTTGAATGCCTCTGAAGCAGCGGGGGTTTTTGGATGTCCATGTCACTATGGGGTCTTCTTTCTCTCCAGTAGCATTAGCAATAAGAGCCACAGTCACTCGTGTTTTGGATTTCTTGCCTCCTTTGCACTGTAATGCTTTTGTTCCAAATCCTTTATCAGGTAAAGAACGCCAAAAACAACCTGTCTCATCTATGTTATAGATGTCTTCCATCTTATAGTTAGCAAGAATATCAGGTAGGCGCTCTTTCCATGAATCTACTCTCAGGCAACTAACATCACCAGAGTCCCCACAGACAGATACTCTGTTAATAGAGTGATGATGCTTCCATTTGTCAAACCAACGGTTTGATGCTTTAAATCCTTCAATTTCTAACTTCTCAGCTATTTCTTGTGCTTTACTCTTTAATGTTGGGCCATCAGGATCAATATTTTTAGAGCAGGCAAGGAGATACCATTCATACAAGCGATCATTGACATCAGAAAATGTAGATTTTCGACAACTGTGCCCTAAACTGTGAGATGAACTAGACGCATTGGTTTCAAATGTATTAGTTATAGCTTCATTCTGTTTTATTATCAAATAGATTTGTGTTTGTCCACACCCATATTCCACCTTGAGATCTTGCACACTCTTTCCTTCGTCATGCTGTTTGATAATTTGAACTTTATCCTTCAGAGTGAGATGCTTTCCCTTTCTAGAAGCCGAGCTTGAAGCCATTGACAGGAGCAAGATATTGTCACAGTCACACAACGTGCATGGGCGTGGTCATAGCGCAGCGGTACCTGTAAGTCTGTAACATCATGGCATCCCAAACAAATGATAGGACACGCAAGACTGCAGTAACAGAGCTAAGTTCATTTATTCGTGGATATCATGCTTACATGGAAGTTTGGACTCCTTTTATTGGAGAAGAGCTACTACTAAGAAGAGAGCCAGACAATATTAAAGATGGTTCAGCTGTTTGTGTGCTGAAACATGGAGAGATTGTCGGTCACATCCCTTTTAATATTTCAAATGCTGTGTCTCATTTCCTTCTAAGGGAGTGTAACAAGGGATTTGTGACAGTAACGGGCAAGAAAGTAAACGGAGGTGCTGGTTTTGGTCTAGAAATTCCTTGTATATATCAATTTTACGGACCAGAACCTTACATTCAAAAGCTAGAAGCTATCTTTGTGTTTCTTCGCAATCAAAACTTACTTTAAATAACTCTGTTTATTCTTTTGTTTATTCTTACTTTAAATAACTCTGTTTATCTATGGTCTATTCTTATTGATGGGCTCCGCCTCCTAGGCACGCCCAGATGTTGCCACACCCATTTCGTTGAAAAGAAGTGAAAAATTAATTTGGGACAGGGAAAGGCTTTCGTTACTTCGTTACAGAGAAGTTTTCGTTAAAGGGAGGTCCGTTTTCATTGAAAAACTGGGAAAATTAGTTGGTACATTTAATTTTTTCATTATAAGGAGGTTTTCGTTAAAGAGAAGATATGTTATCAGAGGTTCCACTGTATATGAAGTGCAGGTGACAAAATTTCTTCAATTAACAAAGCAGCTGAATTAAAAGTCTCTCTAATTTCAGGAAGAATTAACATTTTTTATTTCATTTTACTTACTTATTAGTGTAGCTCTTAAAAGAACTGGTGATCTCTTACTCTGCGCACTCTTTACTAGTAAGCAGAAGAAGAGAATGAATAAAGCAATATTTAGTGGTACTGTGCTATAGAAGAGTAGAATGGCAGTCACTAGTCAGACTAATCACTATGGCCACTCTGCGCATACGAAAAATTTTAAAAATGGCGACTGAAATAAGGGTGTATTATATCACACCCATTGTTACTTCTTATTTAACCAAGAAATAAATTACGATTCTGAAACTACCTTTGTAGCCCTTGTTAAAAGAGTAAAGGAATGGTGTAAAAGCAAACTGCAAAATGTGTAAAAGAAATCTGCAAAATGTTGAATTTTGACCAAATTGCAAAAATTTACTTCCAGCTGTACAGTAATTCCTTATTGACATTAGTTTCACAATTCTTTCCTTTTTATCTGGTCTTTATGTTTGCTACTCAATGTCTTTTCCCTTTGCATGGTCCTAAGTAGGGTGTAATAACTGTTCTTGCCCTGTATAGCAGGTTTATTTTGCAGATAAAAAATTTTGCAAATTTTTCAAGATGCATAAAATTTAAACACCTTGAAAATCAATTTAATATGGTACAAGATGACAGAAGAGTGGCAACTTGGAAAATATAATTACACAAACCTCCAAATATAGGCCATTTGCAAAAAATTATCCTTCAAAACTCCAGCTATATTGTTTGAGTACAACCAAGAAACTGTATGGTAATAGCAATTACAAAGCAAAAAACTTGCAATGGCAAAAAAATTTTTAGACATGAAAGTGACGTATCTGCAGTTATTGGTGTAGTGTGTATTCAATGAATGTATTTGTTACTTCGTTTCAAAAAACTTACATAATCTTAGCATTGTATTGATAATAATTTTACAAATATTTGAAAAATTAATTAACAAGCTTCTGAAAGTTATAAATCATTAAAATATGGTTAATGTGCTTGTTAAAAAGATTTTAATGACAATTGCCATAGAGTGTCATAATTTCTCCATAACATGTTCATGGAGTAGCTCTTCCAATGTAAAGGACTTTGATACCTGCCCTTTATTGGTTATTCCACAAACTTTGTCCTCTTTTGAAAGATGTGTAGAGGTAGCCAGATGTCTTTAAATGTCTCTGGGACATCACTTTCAATAGGTGTAGTAGAAGATGGAACTGATCTCGTCTGTATGGAAAGATTTTTTGCATTTAGAGAAAACTTTGTTTTTTTTGAATAATTCATGCCACAAAAGTTAGTAACCACGATATGGGAACATTGGCTATGTCATAGGCTGTCAATTGCGACAAAAATCCAACATTTTAGAAGTTTTAGTACAGTTGTAGTTTTGCAGGCAGTACTGCTGATGTCATCCAACCGCAAGAAACACTACTGGAGCAGTATCTGTATCATGAGCATGTTTTCATGTATGTGTTGGTGTTCATGTCACATGTACAGAGGACAACGTCAGGCATATCTCCCTTAACGGTTTAACCTTTCTTAAGTAATGCACAATGTCAAAGTTCCTCTATGTTGCTGATCAACTCGATAGCCATACATATATGTATCTATGCGCCTCAATTCTCAAATCAATCATGTGAATTGTTGAGGTTTGTTACTGATGGACTTCTATGTGAGAGGTATCCTGTCGGCACCTTAAACAGAGCTTTCAGGTGATGCAGCATGGTGGGGTATGTCACAGTCCTACATCCTGGTGATAGGTATCTGTCAATCCCCGCCCCAACCAGCAGTCTATTGTGTCACAAAAATTCCAGTTGAGTTTTGACAAGAATAGCAGAACTCACCCTTTGCCTTGAACTTTTCCTTCCCATCGAGCACTTGGAAGTTGAAGTAGCCTAAAAATGATATACCATTTTTAAAAACCATGTCACCTACTTTCCTTCCTTTATGTCTTTCCTCCATTGATAATGTGACATGTTCGAAGTCACCATCACTATCACACTAAAAAAAGGTTGGACCACATTTAAAAATGGACTGATGAGTCCTATCCCCTCTTCTTGAGGCAGGTCAAGGATGACATTTTTGCATTCAACAACTGGCCTACAAATTACGGACTCCAAACGTAGCTGTATATTTTCTTAAAATTGTCAGTGAAAAGTATTGGCATCACAACTTTTTCAGTTTCCCTTTATTCTGGTGTTCTTAACACATTACAATATTATATAAAACTACTACTACAGTACTTGGTGGCATTCCATTGCGTGAAAAGCTGTATTTAATATGTGTCTTGTCTCCTATTGCAAATGGCTTTATTTGAGGAATAAAGTGTGTTGCTAACTTCAATCAAATGCCTTAGCAAATCTGTCTTCATCATTGGTGTCCTAGTAATGTGTGTATTCTTATGAATGTCAGTTGCAATACTTACTGCAAAGACATGAATTTGTCTTGGTTGTGGAATGTTGCATAATCTTGCTTATCTGAAGTGTTCTTTCAGGTCTTGCTTCATTAAATTGAAGTCATCAATTCTAGTATCTTTTGCCAGTATACCATAAGGCATCATATTAATCGGCGGTACTACAAGTTTATCACACTACACAGAACTTGAACCAATCGTTCTATTTGTTACCTACTTTTCGTAACTCAAGCACCCTTAAAATGTTCTCTTTTCGATTGTAGTTACAAAGCTAAAATGGTACCCTTGTCTTGCTTTCTTCTCGAAATAATTCATCAAGTATTTCCGTTTCCATTTGTTCAATAACACTATTACAAAAGTTTGACTTAGTATATCCCTTGCTCCTACCACCTCTCCAGTATTGATAACTCAGTTACATTTAAGAAAGAAACCTCAAGTGACAAAATCAAATAAGTGTCCAAAAGTCGTAGCAAAAATTTGTTAAATTTTTCAACTATCTGCATTGATAATAATGTAGAGATAACTGTCTTTAGATGAGGAATATTGTAGATAGATTATGCAAGATTCATAATTTTTGCCAATAACTGCACTGGCAAAATTTTTCGTGTTGTCAAAGTTCTTGGAAAGGAGACGCCTTCTGTTCTCCACTTAATTGTATCAGGCTTTTCAAATTTTATTATGATTGTTCTACTCAACTCCCTTAATACTGTAAGTGATAGAGATTAAATTTCACACTTTGACTTAGATCATATGAAGTTATTAACCCTAAATTTAATTATCCATGGTCATGCAATTATTCTGGCTGATGCACATGTCATCTCTACTAGTATAGAAATTTAAGTTAGGGCATTATACTTATGTTGTAAACACTTTTGTTCCCTATGATGGTATTGTGCCTCTTATGTCAAAGTGCAAACAAACATATAATAGTACTATTGAAAATGTTTAAAAAGGGATAGATTAATCAATCGAGCTTCATATATGACGTGGTCTGAGAAAATCGACCTTAAGTCCAATTTAATGAAAAGGAAATAAGGCCGAAAATGTGATAGGATAATTTTTGTGGCGAATTTTTTAATTTAATATATGTGTTATATCAGTCAATACCCAGCAGCTTTTACAGCACCTGGAGCAGCAGGAAGTGGAGTATGATGATGAAGAACCACTCATCACTCCTGCAACTAGCAACACCATATTTGTGGAGCTAGAGGATCTAGAGCTGGATGAGGGAGCCGTGGATTTGAGAGAGAGGGAGGAAATTGAGGCATTATACTCTAGTGGGTGTTGTGCAAAGAAGTGCCACACACAGGTTGAGAAGGATGATCTGATGACAGTGCGCTGGGACTTGCAAGAACTGACAAAGGACCAACTGGAGACGACTGTTCTTGGACACATGATGTCTTCAACATCTTGTGAAACAGTTGAGAGGAATAGGACTGAGTATGAATACAGGGAAAAGACGGAAAGAACATGCAATATTTTTAACAATTAATGATTTTTTATCCTTTCAAAATAGATATGTAAGAAGCTCTTGTTCATCTACAGTATCAGAAATGGTACTTACTTAAACTTGAGGCATTTCCTTAAAAGTGGAATGAAACCCATAATCCTAAGTAGAGTAATTAGAATTGTTAATGTAGGGTTCATGGGAACACTGGTCGCATTCCATGTCATGCAGGCATTAAAGATGTGGTAGCATTTTTGGAGAACTATGCTGAAGACTACGCCACTTTATTGCCTGGG